TACCCACTTGAGCCACCATTTTGTACACTGGGCAGTTTTATTTATTAAATACATAAATTAAAACAAGAAATAGAAATCATTATAAAATAATGAGAAAAAATAATCAACTCTAACTAGTATTATTTTTTTGGGAACAATAAAAGAAATAAATTATAAGTAACATCAAAATAGAACAAAAATATGCATTCCACAACATTTATACAGTAACGACAATTTGGGCAAACATGGTTGTTATTGGGCCAAGTGAAAATGGATTCTGCATGGAATTTGTGAGAGTGAGTGTGTCTGCATCGATATCACACACGCAAGTGACTCCATTGCTTGACTAGTGGCTGACCCATGGCCATAATCCTCAAGGAAGAGACGCGGCTTCAACTAGAGGTAATCAACTATTTCCCTCAAATATTCATTGGCTTCTAGACAGTCTCTTGCCCTGGTCTAGGGACATGGCGGAGGGAGGGGGCTTCAACTATTGAGAGTAGATCATCTATTTGCTTGCTCTGAAATATTCCTCAAGAACTATTCAACTATTGAGGGTAGATTATCTATGTGCTCTGAAATATTCGTCAATAACTATTGAAAGTACCTCTCTATTTGCTCTGAAATATTAGTTAAGATATTTATTACAATTGTTTCTCGAGGCCCTATACCCCTATTTTGTTGGATCTCTAATTCCTTCCACACTTCATTGTTAATAAATTCAGTTATATTGACACAATTGTTAAATTCAATTCCCATAACCCATTTTGTTTTAACTCTAATTCTTTCTACACTTTTAAATTCAGTCCCTATACCCTATTTTGTTGGAACTTTAATTCCTACCCCATTTTGTTGTAACTCTAATTCTTCCCACATTTCATTGTTAAATTCCGTCCCTATATCCTATTTTGTTGAACTCTAATTCTTCCCACACTTCATGGGTAATAAATTCAGTTATGACATGGATGACTCGAGGACGACACCCATATGCCTCTCAACACATTATAGAAGAACCTGTAGGTAAATTGTCATGTTCAGGGTTCGGATAGCGGTGACGAAGTGACGCGACATATAATCATGTTGAATTGGCCGTAAGCATGTGAATGATAGGCAGTAGTAGCAGTTGATTTCCATGAATATGTTCTGTCTGATATCGATATTGAGTGAGGAGGACGTTTTGTTCATTTTAAGTTCAACCTCATAGCCAAAGCGGCTGGGAAGAGTGGCCATGGTCACACAAAATTGGTGAACCTTTAAAGGATTACAAAAGAGAGATTTTAATGTGAGGAAGAGGTTCGATTAATTGGTGCAAATCAGGTCATGGTGCCCAAAGTGACCCCTGTTCTTCATGAGATAAAAGCTACTCTTGAATAAGAGGGACTGAATTTTGGCATACAAATAGAGAAAGAAATCGAGAAGCTGATTAGCCACTAGCTAAAGAAGAGCCTAATTTGGAGTCAATTGTACTCAGCCATGGTGGTTCACTTCACAGTGTGTGGAGACTCATGAAACAAATTATTGTGTGGGAGACACAAAGATTAGAACAGTTACAACTAATGTTTTAGAACATGGGGGTGTAAGAAAGCAATGTTAGGGCAAAGGTCATGCCGCAATTACACAGTTGAGAATGTATAAAGAGTCATCTTTTTAAATTTTGTCATACAATTTTGTACAACTCTCTCAGTGCACAGCATTTTTTCATCATAGTAATTAAATTTTTAGTTAAAAAAAGAAAAAAGGAAAAAAAAAAAGAGGTTCTTTCTTAATTACTTGTAATTAGAATTGTTATGGAAAGACAAGGATACCCAAATAAAACGGATTCAGCAACAGAGGCCTAATAAATACGAAGTCTTAACTGATGTGATGTAATAGAGATGATGAAGCCCCAACTAATGTGATAGAGAGAGGGAGTCTTGGTTAAATTTGAACATTGGTTAGTACACTAGCAAGTATACTGTTTTTTTGTAACATTTTAAAGATGGAAAAGTATACAAAAAGTCACTTTTATCCATCAGATTTTAAATCGGGTGTTTATGAGTGTGTCATGGACTAGACTCTAAGTTCAAAATTAATTTCTTAAACTTTGTCATACCCAAAGCCATCTGATTTAACATCCAATTTCTACTAGTAATTATGACTTCTTTATATCAAAGATAAATGGCCTCATAATATACAATCTCTTAAAAAATTCGTCGAGAAAACTATTTTTCATTTCCCCTAAAAGTACTTCTCTTTAATCATCTACGTAAAAAAAACATTGAAGTATTTTGAAAGGAAAATAAATTGTTGAAAATACATATGATATTAAATTCACTCAAATAGTTTTTGTACCGATTTTTTCCCATCGAATTACATTAAATTCACTCAAATAGTTTTTGTACCGATTTTTTCCCATCAAAAAAGAAATATTGCAATACCACGGCCCTCATCTATTTTCCTCTTTCCACATCAATATAAGCAAATGTATACTTTTTAAAATTTTATGAAAATTGATTTCAATTTTGATAGAGAAAATAGTTGATACTATCGTTTCACTTTTTTACGGCTCAAAAGCATAACTCTAATCATCAGCTGACATCATAGAGAATTAACGTGTCAGCCGTCCACTAACGACATTTGACGCTTGCATGATGCTAGCGAGTTGTAGGAAAAACAAATGCGTTGGGATGTAGATTCTTATATGGAGAATCGTTAAGACCAACTTGGCTCGGGCTCGATACTCGGGCCCGGCCCAAAGCTGAGTAACTCAAACTCCTTTGAGCAGTGTTAAAAAAAAAAAAAAAAATTAACTTGTCAGCCATCCGCTAAAGACATATGGCACTGGCATGATGCTAGCGAGTTGTAGGAAAAACAAATGCGTTGGCATGTAGATTCTTATACGGAGAATCGTTAAGATCAACTTGGCTTAGGCTCGATACTCGGGCCCGGCCCAAAGCTGAGTAACTCAAATTCCCTCAAGCAGTGTTAAATAAATATATATATATATATATATATATATATAAATATAAATGATATGGAAAAAGTAAGAATCAAAGTAATCCCAAAACAACAATAAAAATCCAAACAAGATAAGGAAAAATTTGTAAAACGTGGATTTAGAAAAAAAAGTGATTTATGCCTTTGAGATATTTTATAAAAATCCAAAAAAAAAGAAAATAATAGGGCACACAATCATCATAAAAGATCTTAAAATTACATATAAAATATTTATACATTTATTTTACTTACTCGGCTGAGTGAAATAATTAGGTTCTTTTAGAACTCATGCATTTTAAATTTTTCTATAATATTCATGGTATAAATCTACTTTTTGAATAATCCATTTTTCGTAGCTTTTTTCCATCTTATTTAATCTGCTAATGGGTCTATTAATACTTTTAACTTGTTCTTTTTTTTAAATTCTTTTAGAGGTCTTTTTACCCTTTTTATAGCTTTTTTTTTTTTTAACTCTTTTTTGGGTGTAAGTTAGTTCGTAACTCGGTCAAGTACTCGGCTTGCACAAGGTCCGAGGATTCGAACCTCGAACCACTTGACACTACCCTTAGAGGTCGTAGTGCTGCCCTATTAATAAAAAACTTAAAAGCAGTGGTTTAAAAAATAAACTAGTGTCTCGGATCGGGCGTCCCAAAAACCCATTCAGATGGATGAATCAGCGATTTGGATCGAGAATCGGCTAAATCGATCGGATTAAGCTTTAAATAAAATCTAAAAAAAATATTAAAATTCATTATAAATATTGTTTTTTAAGAATCCAATAAAAAATATGGGTACTACATTATTAAATTTCATTTTTTTTATCAATATGCGAATACTGAGATGTTATTTCCCTGTATGAATTTATGTTAACCATTAAATTTACATCACACAAAAGAAAAATCATGGATGAAATATATAATCATATACGGAGTACAATAAAGAATTGATTAAATCGATAAAAAATGACCATAAAAAATGGCCATCACTAACTAACTATAATCTTATATACTGAAATTGAAATTGTTGGTTTACATTTTGTCAAGGTAACTTTTTATTTATTTTTTGACAAAAAATTATTTTATTTTTTGTCATAACTTTTATTTTTTTATCAATGTAAATTTTTTTTTTTTGAATTTTTTTTTTTTTGTCAAGGTAACTTCTATTTTTTTTTTCATAACTGTCATTTTTTTGTCAAGGTAATGTTTATTTTTTTGTCAAGGTAACATTTTTTTTATTTTGTCAAGGTAATTTTTATTTTTTGTCATATAACTTTTATTTATTTTTATCAAAGTAACTTTTATTTTTTTGTCAAGGTAATTTTTTTTTATTTTTTGACAAAAAATTAAAAAGATGATGGGAAAATAATCTATGATTAAATGCCACTAGGATATTTTTTATTTGATTTTTGGGATCCAATTAAGAATAACTAGATGATTATTTTGAGACAAAAAAAAAAAAGTTCTCTAAAAATTGGACTTTCAAGTACGTAATACATTAGACTTGAAAAATATTCTTTTTTTAATATTCATGCTCAAAATATAACATTGCCGAAATCTTAAAAATGCATGCTTAAATTTGCATAAAGGAGCAAATGAACAATATGCTCCCTGAGCAAAACATCGTTACGTTAGCAATTTGGAGCCAACGAAAATGGCACCCTGCTACAATATCCGGTTAAAAGCTAAAAAGTCCCCATGGAAACTTTTGGGGAATGAATGGCAACATAAAAAGTAATGCGAACCTTTTTATTTTAGTTCATGTGCGTTTGAGGTGAGCGTTTATTAAAACTGTAGCGAATGGTTCGAACTTTGAAGCAATCCCCGGTTCTTCTCTTAAAAAAAAGGCGAGTTCTTCTCTAAAAAAAAGGCGATTTTGTGTATTTTAAGCAAAATCTCTGGGTCCGTACGTGATCCCTCGATTTTGAAACACATTAAGCCCAAAAGCTAACAATACACTTTCATCTGACAAAAAGAGATTGAAATATGTATATATTTGTAAGCGGTAAAGAAACAGTTCTCAAACTTTTCCATATGTTCATCCACCGAAACCAATCACAACACACATAGAGTTTCCTTATTATTTCCTCACGTATCAAACATAATACAAATTACAATAATGAATAGTGAAAAAGAAAAAACAATCCCAAAAAAATCAAATCGTCTCACCACATGAGAAATCATTAGTACCATAATTTATAAATAAGAACTCCCTCTTCAAATCTCACATTACTTCTTCAGTGTATTGCTGCTGCACAACAAATGCAGTTGCCAAACAGGAACCAGGATTTTGATTTGTATCTTCCTGTGGGAGTATTTGTTGTGATTATCTTTGCTGGAGGACTCCAAACTTCATCCACAGCTTTCACAGTTGCAGTCTCTTCCTTTGATGATTCAGGTACCACATATGTTTGTCCATCGAAGAAGCTCTTTAGTGGAGTTCTCATCTTACCTGAATCAGTCCTTTGAATGGTGGGAATTTCTCTCTGGTTTGGCGATGGATACTGCGCTTGAGCTGATTCATCACTCTCTGTTTCAGGTATTGAAACTTGGGTTCCCGATTTTGGGTCCTCAAAGTCCACATTTTTTACAACTTCCAAGTCTTCTTGGGATGTCTGCTCTTCTTGGTTTACAGGGTTCGCGAAATCACCATCTTTCTCCTTAGCTTTATCCATCTCCTCTTTTTTATCAGCCTGCAATCGGTTTGAGATATGGGGTGTTTCTTTATCCTCTAATGACTGATCAACAGCATCAGGGGAATTTCCCGTTGTTCCTATCGGCTTTACCTTTTCATTCACTTCCTTGCTGTTAAGACACCTAGGTTGTTCCATCGTTGCTTCTTTGACTGAATGATCTGTACTTACAGCATCAGAGGAACTTGTAGCTGAATCACCTTCCTTCTCTATCTGTTCTGATGTGTTTTCAATGGCGAAATCATCTTTAATTTCCATCTCGGACTTTAAGTGGTTTTGGGCATCCGTCTCCTTAACATTTTCTGGATCAACAGGCTCCGGTACTTCTTTTTCTTCAAGCACACTGGCACTTGGGATCTCAGTTATCGCACCTTCAACTTCTTTGTCTTCGTCAGCAACATTGGCTGGCGCTTTACTTTCAGATTCAGGAGATTCATATTCTTGAAGTTCTCTTTTCTCTTCGGAATAATCCAATTCAAGCTCGATTTTGGGGCCTGAGACTTCCTTCTCATCTTTATGAACAGTGGTTGAACCTGTAATTTCAGATTCAGGAGCACCGTATGTGGGTGGTTCCCTTACCTGGATTGAAACATGGTCCAATTTCTCAGAGCTTGAGTCATTCGGAGGGGATGAAAATTCAGATGGGGGGACCTCGAGTTTGTTGATTTCTATTTTCCTTTCAAAATCAAGCTCATTTTCCTTATCATTCAATCCCAGGTAATCAGAAGCATCCTGCAGTTTAACTGAATGGTTCTCAGACTCTTTAATTTCCTCTCGACCACTCTCGTGTTCTCTCTCGGGCTTCATAGATGGTTCATTATGATCTTGGGTTGGGGGATCTGGAAGAACAGATTGTGTTTCCTTCCCCAATAATTCTGTTTTTTCTTCATTTATACTGCTTCTATTTGGGACTGCTTCCTCTCCCTGTGATTCATTCACATTTTCTAAAGAACCTGAACCAAATTTCATCTCAAGTGCTTGTTGGGTTTCGTCTTCAAAGTCATCAACTTTGATGTCTAAATCGGTAGATTGATCAACTTGCGCAACCCCATTTTCACACTCTGTGTTTCCTTGCACTTTGTTTCTACTTTCATCTATGGTAGAATACTCTGCTGAGATGGCCATTACCCCAGGTTTTCTCCTTTGATCAACTGAATCTTGGGATGCGATGGGAGTATTCAATGTTGGTTCTTTACGTTCTTCCATAGTTTCTGCAACATAGATGCAAATTATTACAAACTTAATCCTACTTGTTCACTAAATACAGCCTAGAGATAGAAAATGTTTTAAAAACGGTGCAAAACTTATTTAATGGTTAGTACTGTAATGTTTTCTTCCTGGAGACTACATGTCCTGAAAATTAGGAAAATAATTCTCTAGGGGAAACGTAAATTGGGCTTGAATCTAAGGTTACAACCATAACAATATTGAGAGAGAGAGAGAGTCAGAGAGAGCAACAAAAATCATTACCTTTTGGTACACTGTAGCCCCGTTTTGAAAAAACTCATGCTAGAATCATGAGATTGGCCAGAAAATTGAAAATAGAGATCATTTTGCCTTAAACGAATATTACATTTGAGGAGTATAAGGAAAATATAAAGTCATAGACGTTTAATTATAATCCTTACCCATCACGTTTTCTTTTATTTTTTTAGATCAAATCCATCACCATTTTTTCTCCCTCTTATTTATAATCCTTCAATTTTTCTCTTTTGAAGTGCTTTTTTTTTTTTTAGAAGTTCTTGAGAAATGTAAAAACCATGAAAATCTCCTGATAAGTTGCCTCACTGAGATATTCTGAAGAACAATACCGATCAGAATGATAGATCAAAGTGCTAGTATTAATGAAACAATAGCTAAATAATCCATTTTTTTAAAGAATAGGATTCAACGCTTACTAATACATGCATTCACACCACTTTTTATCTCTCCTATAAATACTGAAAATGTTTTTTTAATTAAAAAATATAATCTTTTGTAAGCCTTCCAATTGAGCTATGTACTTCAACCCCTATTTTAGTGCTTTGCTCATTAGAGATACAAAATATTCTAAAAAGCCTTAAATTTTTGCTTCAAGTATGCTTCCAATCTGGTATGAAACCATGATACAAACAGGAAATAGAAAATTACTAACCATTTCCATTAGTTGTCTCTTCTTGGGTCTGATCCCCCATACTTGAGGGGACTGCATGTTCATGGCTCTTTTGGTTCTCTTCACCATCTTCAGCATGCGAGCCTGCAACTGGCTGATCTATCACTGCCTCGTTATTAACAGCCTCTTCATTAATTGCTCCTGCATGGCCTGAAGGCCTAATGGCTTCTGAATTCTCCTCTGTAGCATGGACATCGTTGTTATCTTGCTCTGAACCGACACTCAAAAACATTCAAGAACAAGTGAGATAAAAAATCGTGGGCATGGCAATAACATGAATTGTGTAGTGGAGATGGATAGATAGACAATACAGAGAATGAGATAGAGAGAGAGTGAGAGAGAGAGAGAGAGTAAGAAGCTGTACCTTGAAGAGCTGTAACATTCGAATTGCCCATCTCATTGCCCATATGGCTTAACTGAAGCCTGCTACAGTTTTAAGAAGGCAAAAAAACAACAAGAATTTGGTACAGTGAAGTTCTGGACAGGAAGGTCTTAGGCTTTACTGAACATAAGCCCCGAAAACTCTGTTGTTAAAATGGAATGAGAAGTGGGCTCCAGAGTACATACCATGATTACCATATGCTGCTTCTTTCTTCCTTAGTTTTTTTGGAGAAAGCTGAGATGCCAGACTGTATACTTGAGGAGCCCCATGCCTTGGATCAGAAGACAAATCAAGTGATAAAAAGGCAGAAATCAAAATGAAGTGCCAAAGCCTTTGAAAATCTAAGAGTCATTGGTATTTTTTATCATCCTCTTATATAGTTGTTGATTTAAAATCTCAAAATTTAACAATAACTATTAATATTTATGCGGTAGCCCACATATTTGTTGCATGACATTAACTGTATAATTTTTTAAGTAATTGAATAAAATTAGTTAAACCCAAGTATCTATACAGTTAGTACACTATGCTAGAATTTATATTTCAAACAGTTCGCTACCATCTTCAAACTTGAATAACCCAACCATCTCTTGTTGACACCCAAATGCCAGTCCAGTGATTTTCCGTATCTCTATTATTAAATTGTGTATACCAAATACATGATGAATCAAATTCTTTTCACTTTTAAGCATAGTTATAATCTTGTTAATGGGAGTTTTTCAGACTGTCTTTTGTTAGAAATATAATTTTTCCATACTATAATTTATAAACTTATGATTTTCTTGTAAGATGGTATTTACGTTCTGCTTATACCTTAACTATCGAAAATTTTTAGGCGAAAACATCTTTTCTTTTTTGGAACAATAGAGGTGAAATCATATAAGGGCATGCATAGTATGCTCCCTCAAAAGCATAGTTTACTTCTACTTCCTCGATTAGAAGACTTACGTGGGTCTATTTTTTCGATCTGAAATTTTAGGATCCACCTGAGGATCATTAGATGAATAATTGCAAAAGAAAAAATTTGAAATTTAAGTTTTTTAACACTTAGATCTTACCATCTAAAAATTGGATGGTCTCTATTCAATCTCGAGACATTATTATTTTCAAGTGGATAGAGAGCCCAATTAGGATTTTTTTTCATTGAGGTTAATTTATGGGTTGAAAGGTTATATCCCCAAAATTTAGCGTCCCAAAATTAATTCTAGTTAGGGTTTTACTTGAGGGAGTAAATAGACAGTATCCTCATGTGGGGGTATAATATCTTTTGGCAACATATAAAAGGGTGAGAAATCTTTTGTACTATAAGGAAGGAGACTGTTTACCAAATGTTTAGATACTCTTTAAAAAGAAAATGGTAATGTTTTTTTTTCCCCTCTAATAATGTTGGTTTTGCTGATACAGTTCCCATAATGATTTCTTTGACACTAAGTAAATGGCCTCTTTTATTCAATAAGGGCCAGCTCTCCCTTTAATAAAAGTTCACAGGTGAGAGTTGCTTTCTAGTTGTGGAATTGGGGAGTCATGGGCCAAAGCATTCAATTTTTTTTGGCTAATACTTTTATTTTAAACTTTATTATATATTTCCCTTCAGATCTTGATGAGAAAGCTATCTGGAGCTGTATTTTAGTGGGTCTTTTATTCAATGGTGATCTCTAACATGATTGCAGCTTGCTTTCCTTTGATCATTCTATTTCTTTTAACCTCTCAAGGGCCATGAATATGATTCCATGTCCTTCTTTTCATATATGGGTACCAGCTTTCTCTAGAAATTTCCATATTGGCCTTCCGTCAAAGGCATATATGTACACACCTTTATACATGTATCATGTTTACATTTAACCATTTGTATCATATATCATTTCTATGCATTTATCGTATATTTATTGAGGGTGATTATAGTACAGTTCTTCAGCCACTTCTTTGAGTGAAACAAAAAAAGAAAACTTAGAATTCCATGTTTTGATACTTAGCATATCAGGAAACAACTTTTGATTGATGAATTTTTCATTTTTTAATCAAATTGAGGCCAAGTTGGAGTTTATAAAGTTCTTTCATAAGGTAAAAGAAAGCTTTATAATTCCGAGAGAAATTGATCTTAACATTCTATTCATATGCAACTACTCCAACTCAAGATGATGCAATTTTTTATGGTTTTTCAGAAACTACATTAAAAGGTACAGCTAATATGTTAAATTGTTTATCTCTCATCGGTAATTTGATAAATTTCTCCTAAAGCAGATGAATGGAAGATTCATATTCTACCTTATGAATGTGGTAGGAGATCCAATCCATTAATATTAAATACACGTACACGTATGTGTGTATATGAGAGAGAGAGAGCAAATATATGTTTCTTCACATGAATCAAGCCAATGTGATTAACTACATGCAATATCTTCATCCCATAAATAATTGTGGGCTAATACTTGTTTCTCCACATAAATCATGATATCAAAATTTTTTTTTATCGTTAAATAAAACTTAATAATTGGGGGTATAGTAGTTATTTTGTTGAAAGACGAGGGCTTTTCATCTACATGGCTAACCTTTTGCCCTAGTCAAGGCCTAACCTGGTGGGAGTGGTCATTCACCATCTCACTCTGGAAACTGGTCGTTCGAATAATGGACCACTCTTTTGTTAGTAATATTTTCTTTTTAAAATTAGTAAAAATCTCCCCTAATGCCCTGTAAAGAGAAGCACGCCATTAGTGGGAGCTTATTTTATTACCAACTGAACTGAACCGTGTCCAATAGAAGAGGACTGTTCGGATTGAATGGTTAGTTGCTGTTTTTCTTTTAAAGAGGAAATGGAAAGCAAGGTTATGTATGGACTGTAAGACGTTTCCCTTTTGACAAAGCAATGGTGAGGTGTTTCTCTTCAGAGGAAAATGGAAAGCAAGGTTATGCATGTCGATAATTCCCTTATATAATTGAGCGCGTTTGGCATGCTCCCACGGGAGTATATTGTACAGAAACTCCCATGGACTCCAGCGGGAGTACAGTGTACAACAATTCCTTTCAGGCATAGGAACTACTTGGAGATTTTTGTGATAAATTTTTTTGGAATCAATCTAAGTATCAGCATATGATTGTTTTCAAGAAAAAAGTTCTCATTTTGAGTTCTTGAACATCTCAATCTTACCCTCAAAAAATTGGACAGTCTATGTTCAATCTTTGGATCTCATTTTTTATTGAGGCACATAGCGTTCTTTTTTTTTTTTATTTTTTCTTCTTCTTTTTTTTGGTGGAGGTTGGTTGTTTGGTTTTAGAAGTTACGTACCAAAATTTGGTCCAAAAAATATTTTAAGCTAGAGTTTAACCTGAGGGAGCAATTGCACATTACGCTCCTGCAAGAGAAGCAAATCTTTTCGCTAGATAGTTGTTTTCTAGCTGGGGAAAATTCAATTGAGTATAAATCATTGCTATTAATGGGGACATCCATTATGCAACATTGGTCCCTTTCAGTCTCTTCATTTCTCCATTTTATAGAAACGGGGAGAGACTCTTCAAAACAGTAGGGCCGCGTTTTCTTAACAAAACAGAGGGAGTAAAATCCCATGTCAAAAGTCCTATAGGAAAATACATTTTTGGTGCCATTAACCATTATGATGGCTTGAAAAAATATATATATAATTATGAGCTTTGAAGCTTAAAAAAATGTAGAAGTAGCGGATATGTGAAGACTTAAAATAGATAGTCCAAATAATATGAAATAAGATACACTATTTTTATGGTTTGAAATCAATATTTGCTAAGGTCATTAATTTATGGATTTTTCCACCACCAAAACAATATTTTCTAGAGAGATATGAGGCTGACCACAGTGTCTCATATATTACTATCTTTCTTGGATACAGGTGAAAGAAATTTGGAAAAGGTTTATATAACAAGGTAGAAGTAAGGTGGCAGTAATCCGTATTGTTTATTTTAATTGGATAGCATAGATTTTGCACCATCTTAAAAAATGTACAAATTTTAACATTGTCTTAAAAGGCATTTCAAATCTAAACCATCCAATTAAAATAGACGGTGTTCTACATCAAAACCTTAAATTATGATATGTCACCTTCTATAAACCACACATTTGTTTTATTCATGTTATCTATACTATATTGTTAAACTACAGTTACAGAGTATATATGTTATGCAATAATAAGGAGAGCTGGAGATATTATACGTCAGATGACTTTATAAATTATAATTTGCTTACATTTGCATGCTACCGTCCATTTTCATCGACGTTTGGAAAACCACAGATCCAACTCAGAACCGCCCAAGCCGGGATCAAGATTGGGATCAAGAGGTGCTAACCCCAACTCTTCCTTGAGGAATCCCGTAACAGCCCCAATTCTCTGTTTATTTTTCAGATTTTTTTTGTTAATTGTATGCTCTAATCCAAGTATCGGGATCGCAATTTGCAATATGACTTGAATCTCAGGAGGTAAAATCGGACTTTCACTCCTATTTCCTCATGCAAAAGGTTTTTTATATTTTTCCTACAGCATATCTCCCTTTCCATCCAACCATTCAATTTTGGTCAAGTGAGCTACTCATCATTTGATCTAGATCCGATGCTTCAATGTTCTTTATTATTATTTTTTATTTTTTATTTTTTATTTTTTTACAAATTTTATGAATATAAAATTTGCTACCTGCCACCTTCTCAATGGGGTGCACCTTAAAATATATTACAAATAATTTTTCGATTAAATTTAATGACCAAAATGCCCTTTAAAAATTTCAAGGGTATTTTGATTATTTTATTTTATTGGGAATATTTTTTTGTATATATTTTCTACAAGTGTGAGTTTAAGAGAGGATTGGACACCCAAAATTTGGTGTCAAAATAGTATGTAGAAAAAAATGAAAAATAAAATAGTGTAGAAACATGACATTATGATTGGGACCATCTTAACCGTCCATTCAGAATGCACGGTTGGATAAGAGGAAATATATAAGTTTTATGCTATAGGGAAAGCATAAAAAGCTTGCTCATTTCTCATTGGCTGAACTCAAAGTCCCATATCCAAATAACAAGAACTCGATGTGGTTATTTATGTTGAGTAAGTAATCTATTTTTTTTCTCTCACTTGTCCTTTTCCATCCATTTTTTTTACATTTTCGCATTAAGAACAGAGAAAAAAGGTTCCCTCCATACATTCCCGATGGGCAGGATGTAGCTAAGCTATGGAAATGTAAAGCACCTAGTCGGGTTAAATCCTTCCTGTGGTTGCCGGGCGTTAAGTGCCTCCTCACGGTCGACCGCCTTCAAAAGGGATGATCTTAGCCGATGTTTGCCTTATGTGCAAGGAAGCTGAAGA